CTGCATTGAGGATTCCTCTAAGGCTACTGGGAAGGGAAGAGTGGCTGTTGCTGTTTGTAGCTGCCCATATGCTGGTACAGGGGCTCTGCAGGGCACCAGTGTCCAGGATAGCAGACTAGGGCAGGGTACAGTGACAGATTCTGGAGCCCTGGTAGAGGCAACAACTCCCCTTCATCCTTATCACCCGCAGAGATTTTACCTGCATGCACCATGAGGTGAGGGCTATATCTCTAATTCTTTGGTATCATCACTGACACTTTGGTTTAAATACGTCATACGTCATCGTGTTACCTCGGGGGTATTGGCAGTTGATGCCTCATCCTTAACTGTAGACTAAAAGGCTTTGCTTCCAGTTAAGAGAATTTCAGTCATTAAATGAAAAGGTAAGGAAGTAATAAAGGTAATAATAGCTAACCTTTATTACTATTTACTCTGTTCCAGTACTATGCTGAGTGATTGTACATGAAATCCTCACAAAGTTCTTGGGAGGAAAGAAGTACTCTTGCCATTGCCTTGTATGGCTGGTGAATGTGGCTTATTTATTCAAGGTTAGCAACTTGTATATGTTGACACAACGGATAAGAGGTGGAGCAAGGCTTTAATCTAGGCAGTCTGACACCAGATCCTGCTTACTTGATTCTATGCAACACTCCCTCCCAATTTTGGGTGTCACGTTAGGTTCATCTAATGCCCCAGAGGGAAGTGATTAATCTATGAACCCAAGGGCCTGGCTGTATTGGTGAACCTCTGCTTGGGTACTGCTTCCTGGGGGACAGAACTGAGGCTCCTAAAGCTGCACTGTCTCTCCATCAGCCAGAGCAAAAATGGAGCAGAGGGAAGTGAGGCTTGGAGAGTAGGGGGAGGTATGAGGCTCACCCCAGCTAAATGGTGAGCCAAGAAGCCATTGAAAAAGACAGTGGTCCCTCTGTTCTTGCTGGAAGGGTGAGTGTGGAAGGTTACTTCCACCTCATTCCCCTGGAACACAAACTGCATCTAGTAGAGGTGAGGAATATTCAGCGAGGAGCACTGCTGCCCACAGAACTGGCCCAGATCCATCCTGTTGGCTGAGATCTGGTGGCGGGAAAGGAGGGCCTGGTGGGTGCTGATCCTAGCCCTTGGTCAGGCAAGGATCTCTGGGTCACCACTTGCCCCTTGGCATGGAGGCCTTGGCTACCATCTTTGTTTCTTTCATCCTTCCTGCAGACCCAGGTCTGCTACCTCAGAGTCCTTCCCAGAACCCCTCAATTTGCCCACCTCACATCCTGACTTTTCATCTCCTGCTGAACATACCAAGACTCTCAACCTACCTCACCTGCTCATGATCATGGACACAATCCTGGAATGGTTCCAGGTCAGAAGTCCAGAAAGCCAGCCTTACAGGGAAGTCCCTGGCACCCTGATGGCATGGGTGCTGTTGTAATTGAGGGGATATGGTGGGGAAGTCAGGGAAAATTGTCCAGAGAGCTGGGTGGGGGCATTGGAGGCAGTATCAAGCCAGAGCAGGAGCAGTGAGCTTCTAGGAGGAAGAACAGCCTGTGGAAGATCAAGGAGAGGCTGGAGGAGCAGCTGTCCCTCCTCAACTCCATCTTCAGCCACATCAGGGACTGCAGACCTTTTAATGATTTTTGGGTATTTAAGCTTAGACCAGATGTGGTTCTTGTCTTCGAGGGGATAACATTTAGGTGAAGGAAAGGGCCCCAAATGTCCAGGTGTCTATTCTTTCCTGGAATCCTAGGATTTGTGGTGATCTCTAGAGGTCCCTTGCTGTCAATAAGGGTTTCAGCCATGTTATGGGATAAAGCTCCTGGCTGGCTGGCCTTTGGGCTTTAGAACTAGAACTCTCCTGATTCCACCTGAGTTCCCTTGTCAACATGTGGGCCTGGGCACCTAGCAGTGGGGTGGGGGATGCAGGAGTTGGTGGTCCAGAGGTGGGACAATTGGGGAAGGGAACATGACTTTGCTTTTTGTCTCCTCTCGGGCCCCTACCAGAACGTGGACTCTTGAGTCCTTGGGCAGCAGATGACCCTATGCTTCCTGGGCCTGCCCTTCTTGCACACTGTAGGTCAGTTTTTTTCTAGGGAGAGGGGTCTGGATTGACCTATGGTCTTTACAGAGGCTGAGGATCATTTGGAATTCAGGCTAGAAAGCTGTTTCTGACTGTAGCTCTTTCTGCTGAGCCTGGCAGAGTGGGAGTAAGGTAGGACCTTGGCATCCCACTGACTTAGTACAGTTATTCTAGCTCACATGGAAATAAACATCTGGATTCCTGATTATATCCCCAGGGATCTAAGACTCTGGCCAAAAAGTTAAAGTTAGTTCAGGGCTCACAACTTCGTATGTCCCAGGAAGGGCTGGAGGTGGGATCCACCCATCTGTGACATTGCCCCCTCCCCTGCCTTTTTCTTTATTCACAGGTTGGTCCCTCTGGTCACCTCCTTTTATCTCTGGGGATGAATGGAGCCTCATTTGAACAAAGGATAGGGTGAGTGTGTGAGTTGGGAAATGGGGTGTCTGTGTATGTTAAGTGTGAGAGAGATGGGAAAATGGAGGATGTATGGCTCTCACAACAAAGAACAGCTCTCCATGCTGGCCTCAGAGAGAAGAGCAGCCCCAGCTGCTCATAGTCTGGCTCCCACTCTCTTGGTCATATCTCTGAAGCTGCTCAGCCCTCCTCTGATTGGTGTGTTTCTTTGGGGGTCTGGGGTCTCCAGTCTGCTTTGTTGGATTCTGGCCCCTGGTGGGGTATGGTTGGGGTGGGAGACAGGGACTTGCAATGTGGATGGTTTGGACACCTAGGTCACCAGGCATTTGGAAGGACTGAACCCTGACAGTCACCCTGGAGGCCTATGAGCTCCTGAGTCACGACCCCTGCTAAGACTGCAGTGAGGGAGCATTGTACTGGCATAAAGACCATGACAGAGGAGAGTCCTGTGGCTTGGACCTACACTGTGAATTGAGTGGCTTGGATGCTCTGTTGACTTGAGTGAGTATACACAGGACCATCTTCTTTCTGCTTTGCTCCACGTTGGAAAGGGACAGGGTGGGATCTAGCAGCCATTGGAGTTTCTATTAGGGATCTTTGTCAAGAAGAGAGCTCTCTACTTCCCACTTCACTGAGGACATCTGTACAGAGGCTGGCCAGGGAAAAAACTATTCAGTTCTACTCAGTTTTTTTCTTTCTCTTTCCTAACGTCATTACAATGTGTGTGGTAGGATCAGTGTTGCAAGCCTAGTTCTCTATGGCCAGAGCCCCAGTGGCTGTTGTTGCTACACAGGGGGCTTAGTCATTGCAGGAAGAGGAGGAAGGGGTGTTCATCTGACGAGCACAAGCCAGGGACTTTCCAAACCCCTCTCAGACTTCCACCTCCACCACATATTGATCCTTCTTCTATCTGATTCTTGCCCCACAGGACTTTTATTCTGAAAAAACCAAGAGTCACTGCCCCTGAAGGTAGAGAAGAGGCCAGAGGCTAGAGCTGGCTTTGGCCTTGAACTAGCTCCACCCTTCTGGGCTTTTTTCCAGGGCAGCAACTCTGGAACCCTAGAGGAATGGCCTTGCTAACCAGAGATTCTCCCCCTTTCCCCTCATTCCAGCCTTGCCGGGTTTAAGTAGAGGGTCCCTATAGCTACGCCTGATGGTCTTTTCCCTTACTGACTATTGTCTTCATAGCCCCAGGTCCTGCATCTTTCTCTTAGGAATATTCTTTCTCTTCCTGCTCCCCTTTTTAGTTCTTTCTGACCTTATTGCTGCCTGTTGTTCCCAAAGCAGTTGTGGAAAGCTGGTCACTGTTTAGAAGCTCCCAGTTTCCTCCAGCACTGGACAAAGGCCTCTCCCTCTCCCATGTCTCTTTCCCAACATGTAGGATGGAAGTATAAAATAGTTAGGTGTGTTCAAATGTTTATAAACATTGAATCAGCTGAGCCCTATGGGGGTGGATGATGGGAAAATTGAGGATCTCTGGCTCCCAGTTCAGCAGTTCAAACCTACCAGCTGCTCAGCAGGAGGAAGATGAGACAATCTACTTCTGCGAATATTTACAGCCTTGGGAACCCAATGGATGTCGCTATGAGTCTGGATTGACTCTATGGCAGTAAAAACCAAACCAAACTCGCTGCCATTGAGTTGGTTCTGACTCACAGCCACCCCTGCTTGGGTTTCTGATGCAGTATCTCTATGGTAGTAGTTTGTCCAGTGTTTCTTCTGAGGAGTGGCTGGTGGGTTTGAACTGCCACCTTTCTGGTTAGCAGTCAAATGCCTTAGGCACTACACCACCAGAGCTCCTCCATGGCTGTTTTTTTTTGGCTCCCACTGCAGTGAGCAGCTTCCCCTACTGCTTGCAAGAGAAAAAGCAGCCCCAGCTGCTCAATAGGTCTGGGCATCCCTTAGAGATGACTCTGGGTAGGGCTATGTCTTGGGCCTGGTTTCCATTAAGCACACATGGCCTTCTTGAAGAAAAAGAACAAGGAAATGGAGGAATGAAATTACAAGTAGCTCCTGTTTAAATTCTCAAAACTCAGTCACAAAAGGTCCATCAGGATTGAATTTTCACTAATATTCAAATGCCCAAAGATGAGTTCTTTCTTTCTTTTTAACTAATTTTTAAAATTGTAACTTGGGCGCAAATTTACAAAAGAGATTCATTTTACTCTCAACAGTTCATGAACATTTGGTTGAGTTCTTTTTTAAATGAAAAGGGGCCAAATGAGTCACATGGGAGAGTAGAGATAGTCTTTATCCGGGGTCCTTTATTTTTTGCCTGCTTCTTTCATCCTGAAGGTCAGATCTTGAACTGGCTGTGAGGTGGAATTTATAAGACAGTGGAATGTGAGAAAGAAGGACTTTGGCCTGGGGGCTTCAAGTTACAGATTAACTTGGGGAGAAGGGAAGCAGGTGGAATGGAAAGTGGCCTCAGGAAGGAACTGCTGAGCTGGGACAATCTGGGTTTGAAGGAGGCACAAGCACGAGGGGTCAGTCCGGAGCAGGCCCTGAGCTCCTCTGGCTATCTGACCTTCCTGAAGACCTGCTCACACACTGCCTCCCTGGCAGTCAGTTCCTGTGGAGAGAGTAGACAGATGAGGACAGAGAATGAGGGTCCTTACCAACCAAAACTCCTTTCTCAAGGTCCCTGACCTCCACTTAATCCTTCAGGATACATTGGCTAGAGTATTTGATATATGGGGAATTGTATCATTGTTTCAAATCTCAACTGTTCACTTCAGGGGAAGGAAGGTAGCTGGGTCAGGAGATGGGAATGGCTAGTTCTAAATCACTCCAGTCCTGATTTATGGTCAGTCATCAGACTTGTAGCCAGGGCCCACTTTGGCCACTCTATTTCTTCTTCTCCCCACCCTTCCTAGTCCTTTTGTTTTCCTTCTTTAGTGGTCCTCCTTGGGAAGGGATGAAGAGGGGGAGTAGGCTTATTTAGTTTGGGCAAGAGGCTGTATCCTAGCTGGAGACCCCTCCCCAAACACCCCATTTGTGTCTCCCCTCCCAGCCCTCACCCAACTTACCAGATACAACTTCTCTCCCTCCAGCCAGTGTCTCCAGCCCCGGTTGGGGACCTCCCCTTTCTGCACACACACCAGCTGCTCCTCCTCCCAGGTTACTATGGTCTATAGGGGGAGGGAGGCAGGAATATAGACTGACTGGGAGGCAAGTCCTAATATACACACCAACTTACCCCAGCTGCTCCCCTTCACTCCACAGCAGTTACAGTCTTGCTTCAGCCCCTTCATTCTGAGTGACTGGGTTGCTCTGAGCCAGCAGGACTCCTCTCTCCAACTCCTACAGGCCACCAAAGGGCCACAGTTCCTTTATAGTGACATTTGGAGTGGGTCAGCCTCAAATGAGATGAAGGAGAGTAGGGGTGGGGCAGGATAGTTAGGGTGAAATTCCAAAACACCAAACCAAACTCACTGCCGTTGAGTCAGATCCGACTCATAGGGACACCTCCTTGGGTTTCTGAGGCAGTATTACTGTGGAAGTAGATTGCTCAGTCTTCCTTCTGAGGAGTGACTGGTGGGTTTGAACTGGCAGTCTTCTGGTTAGCAGTCAAAGGGTGAAATTGGGAGGGTGAAAATGGAAGTTTTGTATGCTGGAGACTTTTGTTTGACCTGCCTTTGGGAAAGAAGAGAAATTCTTTGGGAGCTCCACTAGAGAACTTCTTTTCTTTCTCATTTTTCACCTACAGCTGAAGTGTCCCTTAGAAAGACAGATCAACCATCTGAATTAGAACTGGGTGGGCCTGGCCATTCCAATCAACACTTATTGTGGCCTTCTATAGGATAAAAACAAAATAACCAAACCCCCTGCTTTTGAGTCAGTTCTGATTCAAGGAGAGTACATGTGTTACAGAATAGAGCTGTTCCATAGAGTTTTCTTGGCTATAATCTTTACAGAAGCAGTTACTTAGGCCTTTCTTCCATGGTGGTATTGGTGGGTTTGCCAGCTTTCAGGTTAGCCGCGAATTGCAAACTAGGAGCTCTGGTGGACTGTAGTTAAGGTACTGCTAACCAGAAGGTCAGTGCTTTCAACCCATAAGCTGCTCCATGGGAGAAAGATGAGGCAGACTGCTTCTGTAAAGATTTACAGCCTTGGAAGCCCTATGGTGTTGCTATATGTCAGAACTTACTCAGTGGCAGTGGGTTTGATTTGGTTTTGCACCACCCAGGCTCCTTTCCATAGGATAAAAACCAAAAAAACCTAACTCACTGCTGTGACTGCTGACTGTAACTGCTGTGGAGTGAAAGGGAGCAGCTGGGGTAAGTTGGTGTATATATTAGGACTTGCCTCCCAGTCAGTCTTTGTTCCTGCCTCCCTCCCCCTATAGACCATAGTAACCTGGGAGGAGGAGCAGCTGGTGTGTGTGCAGAAAGGGGAGGTCCCCATAGTGACCCTTCCTTAGGTTTCTGAGGCAGTATTATTACAGAAGTAAATTGCCCAATCTTCCTTCCAAGGAGTAGCTGGTGGCCTTCTGGTTAGCAGTCAAGTGCCTTAGGCACTACACCACCAGAGCTCCTTCCATAGGTCCTGCTCAATAAGGAGCTGACAATCTTGAAAAGGCAGAGGGTCAGTAAATATTTATCTATTGCACCAGGCAAAGGAGGCCTGCTGGTGCAGTGGTTAAAGCATTTGGGTGCTTACCAGAAGGTTGTGGTTCAAACTCACCAGCTGCCCTGTGGGAGAAAGATGAAGCACTCTGCTTCGGTAAAGTTTTACAGCCTTGAAAATCCTATGGTGCAGTTCTGCTCTGTCTTATAAGGTGCCTATGAATCTTCTAGGAAGTTAGATGTTTGTTAGATTGGAGATAAAGGGAGATTTCTAGCAAGGCAAGAAACAGCATAGAGGTAAGTTTGTTATTGTTCTGTGTCGCTGAGTCGGACCCAATTCATAGAGACCCCTCCTTGGGTTTCTGAGGCGGTATCACTATGGAAGTAGATGTCCAACCTTCCTTCTGAGGAGTGGCTGGTGGGTTTGAACTGCCAGCCTTCTCATGAGCAGTCAAGTGCCTTAGGCACTACACTATCAGAGCTCCTATAGAGGTAAGAGAGGAAGGCATATAGTCCTGAAGGACTCTAACCTAGAGTGTGTGTGGGAAAGATAAATGAGGAACTGACAAATTAAGCATGTGAACCTTACCTGGAATGTAGTAGATTATCACTGGAAGGGTTTGAGCAAGGGATTGATGTGGTCACATTTACACTTTACGTGATCCTTGTGGCTATAGCATGCAGAGTGGGTTAAAGGAGGGTCAAGATTGGGGGCCAATTTGGGCACTGAGGAAGAAGTGAGGCCCTGAATTAAGGTACTGATAGTAAGAATGGTTAGAAACAGATGAAGACCATTTAGAACAGAGTTCTTCAATAGAAACATAATGAAAGTCACAAATGCTAGCCACATATATAATTTTACATTTTCTCATAGTTATAGCAAGGAGCTTTGGTGTGATGATTAAGGCATTTGGCTGCTAACCAGAAAGTCTGCAGTTCAAACCTACCAGCTGCTCTGCAGAAGAAAGACAAGGCACTCAGTCTGCTTTCGTAAAGATTTACGGGCTTGGAAATCCAATGGGTCGCTAGGAGTCAGAATCAACTTGCTGGCAGTGAGTGAGTCAGTAGTTATATCAGAAAAGTAAAAAGAAACAAGTGAAACAATTTTAATAATATATTGTATTTAACCTACAGTGTCTAAAATATTACAATTTCAGCATGTAATCAATATAAACCTTTCTAACGGTATATTTTTACTTTTTTGTATTTTCTCCAAAATCCAATGTGTATTTTACATTCACAGCACATTTCAGTTTGGACTAGTCATATTTCAAGCATTCAATAGCCATCTGTGGCTAGCAGTTACAGTAGCTATTATGTTAGACAGTGCTGAAAAATTATAAAGATTCCTTGATTAATTAGATATGGTATATGTGTGTCTCGGAGGCACATAGGTAAGAGAACAAATGATATTGATTATGACTCCTAGGTCTCTGCTATGATGGCTGGTTATTGCCATTAATGGAGAAAAGGAGGAGTTTGTCTGTGTAGAAAGATAATGGATTTGGGTTTGACTTTGGGACATATAAATGGAAATGTATTGCAGGCAGTTGAAGGCATCACCCTGAAGCTCAGGGGATAGCTTTGGCTGGAGGATAAATGTCAGGGACAGTTTTGAGATGGTAGTTGAAGGTATGGGTATAGGTATACACAAATGGATAGAGAAGAATGAGAAAGTCAAAGACAAAGCCCTGGAGAAAACCCCCGTTTAAGGGATTAATAGGGGAACAAGGGTCTGCAAAGGAGACCAAGAAAGAACACCAAGGAGCTAAAAAGAAACGTGGGAGAGTGGCATTATAGAGACAAAGGGAAGAGACAAAGGGTAGAGACTGTATTGACAGAAGTATCACAGGCTAGAGGGTGAGTAAACATGTGGTTATTGCCTGGAGGAGACCTGCTCTTTTACCTCTTTTGGCTGGTGATGAGGGGGGCAGGGAAGAAGCAGGAGAGAGTGGAGGTAGCACCAGGAGTCTGTTAGTCCCAAGCTAGAAGCCTGGGAATTCCACAGCTTGCTTTGGCCATCATTTCCCCTGGCTCTGCCTAGGAGAAGTCACTTTATTTTGTCCATAATTGTTAAGAGGTACCTACTCACCCAGCCCTCTCCCTAACCAGAAAAACCCCAAACTCACGGCTGGATCCGGCTGATCATAGTGACCTCTAGTTGGGTTTCTGAGGTGGTATCACTAAGGAAGTAGATTGCCCAGTCTTCTTTCCAAGGAGTGCCTGGTGGGTTTGAACTGCCAGCCTTCTGGTTAGCAGTCAAATGCCTTAGGCACTACGCCACCAGAGCTCCTGCCCTCCCTCTAGTCTGAGGAAAAGTACCTGACACTTCCGTCCATCCACAATTCTGAGGTCCTCTTCAAACTCAACTCCCACCTCGAATTCCAAAATGTAGTTGTGGAAGGTGCTGAGGGTCTTCACTGTCATGTGGTTGCCCTGATGGTCAATCTCTTTGTCTGGCTTCAGCAGCAGTGCTATCTTCCTCAGAGCCATGTTGATGTCTGTGGGGGAAGATCTCTTAGCAAGGGTCCTGCCAGCTCACGTCAGCTTCCTTACCTCAGCAGCACCTCAAGGCTGTGAGTTTCCCCTTAGTTGGGTCTGGAACTGTGGATATACCTCCTCATAGCATTGCCCTGTGCTGGACTACTAATCAAGGGTTGCCACCCAGAGGCACCTCAGAAGAAAGGCCTGGTGACTGCTTCTGAAAAGTTATGGCCATGAAAACCCTAGGAAGCAATTCTATTCTGACACAAGGGGTCACCATGAATCGGAAGCAACTCCATGGCAACTGACTTTTGTTTAGCATTGCCCTTGATTAGAAATGGATCCCAAGTGTCAGCAGCCTGAGCCTTTCCACAATGTCCAATCCCAGCACACCTCTTTCTCAGTGGGACCAAGAGGCAGGAAGGGAGAGGAAAGGAGGGAAGTAGAAGAGGTCTGGGAGAGGTGAGGCCATTACTTAGGGCTTGCAGGTAGTCCTCCATGTTCTTCTGCGAGACAAAGCGGTAGTAGCCAGTGAGGTTGGGAGGCATTGTCTGGATGGTCCGAAATGGAGATTAAAATTTCCAAAGGTTATAGGAGACAAAGTGAGGAGAGAGAGGATTTTGTCTGGCAGGTGGGGCTGATAGAGTCCAGGCAGCTGTCCACTGGAGGAAACAGGCTTGTATAAAATCTATGTTGTCCAGGGCTTTTACAGGACTTGAGCCCTGTTGCAGTAAGAGTCCCTACTAGACTTCCTTCCTCACCTCATGGTGACTTTGGGGCTGGTGTCTGCCTTGCAGTATTAGGGAAGGGCAGGGCCTTGGCAACATTGTACCTGACCTTGGGCTCTTCCTGAGGAAGGAACCTGGAGGAGCCCAGGATCCTGAGCTGTCAATCATCCAAGACTTGAGCCTTTCCACAGGTCAGTATTGGACTCCATCCCAATTTTCCTCCTGACTAGGCTGGGAGCAGTTCCAGAGACCTCAGGGCCAGTCTGTCCTGGGAGGCAGCTGCAATTGGGCTGGCTGGGCTGGGGAAGGTAGGGGACTCTCACAGGCACACCTAGGATGAGTTCTAACAATACCTGAGATTTTGGCACTGAGTCAGGGATCTTGAAAGGTGTGAGGTGGAAGAGGTAGAGAAAGAAGGAGGATAGCCAGTTGCCCAGGAGCCACAGTGAAAAAAAAAACCTACAGCCTACAGAACTCCCTCAGACACGCATGCTGTGCTAGAACCCAAACTGTTAGCTCTGTTGAGTCACTAGGAATGGGGGAGGATGGGGAAGGAAGAAAGGGGAAGAAGGGGGAGAACTCTTCCCAAGCACAGAGGGGTGTTGAGTTAGAGTTTGAAGGCCCTGGAGCAGAAGGTTGGGGGAGAAGTTTGGTTGGCTGTTCCTGAGAATTTCACGCTCTTTGGCTTGGAACGCAGGGGTTTCCCTCTCCTGTTTGAACTTACCAGGCACTAAGTGGGAGAAAGATGAGGCAGTCTGCTTAAAATTTACAGCTGTGGGAACACTATGGGGCAGTTCTACTCTGTCCTATAGGGTCTCTCTGAGTCAGAATTGACTCAATAGCAATGTTTTTTTTCTTTTTTGCTTTTAGAATCATGTCATCACCCCTAGTTCCCAGTGCTGAGACAGCCATGTGTGTACCATTAGATGTATTCCCCTGGGGGCCTCTGCCTAAATTATTGTGTGTCATGCCCCCCTTTCCCCCAACTGTCCATTCTTTTCTGAATCTACCAACTTCCTTAGCTTCAGAGCCGGCTGGGCTGGCTCATCTTGGTTTAGGTGGGAAAATTTGGGAGAGGAGGCCGGGTAGGTGGGCAGTGGGAATAACTGTGCAGCAGGTCCATTTTCTCAGGGCCAGACATTTCAGTTGCTGATGAACTGCCCCAAAAGGTGTTAGGGGAGCACAAAAATATCTCATGCTTTCTTCAGTCCCAAAGCCCTTCCTCCTTCTGACCAACTCTCGATTCCTCATGTTCTGGGCCTGGGCACTGAAATACCAGGCCCTTAGGCATTTGAGTGCTAACCAGAAGGCTGGCGGTTCAAACCCACCAGCCACTCCTGGGAAAGAAGGCTGGGCAATCTACTTCCCTAGTGACACCGCTTCAGAAACCCAAGGAGGGGGTCGCTGTGAGTATGCGACTCCACCGCAGTGAGTTTGGTTTGGTTTGATCTCTGGTGGTGGCTGAGGGTGCTTCTTCACAGTACCCAGGAGGCAGGCAACAGAGACTTGCTGATGGAATGTGCTGTGAAAAGGGGTTAATGCAGAGTTGGGGGTGGTGGTGACGTGAATACTGCTCCTCCCCACCTCCTCAGGTCTCTGCTGACGTCGTCCTTTCCCCACTCCCTGGCTTCCAGCTTCTCATTCTCCTAATGTTTCTCGTATTTCCCACCCCTTCTATGGCTTTCCAGATTCCTTCCCAGCCCCCGCAGTTCCCCTGCTCCCCCAAATTGCAGTCTGGGGAAAAAATCCCTACCACATTCTCTCGCCCCTGCTCCCCAGCCCCATTGGTCACCTCCTCCCCCCTGCAGCACCTGGCTCCCCCAGGTACCCGATTGGCCAGCAGCCCCATCAATCCGTGCCTGGCTGTGCTGACGTCATCTTGCAGTAGCGGAGATGGGGTGGGAGTGAGAGAGAGAGAGTGAGGACACCGGGCTCTAAAGGGACCAAGTAGAAGCCACTGCAAGTCCCTCACCTCAGCCACACAGGTTGAGGTCTTCCCAGGTCTGCTTTGTGGACTAGTGTGGGCCGCAGGGTCCTCTCTGTCACTGCCCTGCTGCCCTCTGTCTTCTCTGCCCTCCTTGGAGAGAGCCCCTGCATCCTCCCCCAAGGTGGAATAAGCGAGCTGGAGGCTCCCACGGGAGAGAGAGCTCCAGCCCTGCCCTGCCCTATAGCACACCATGACCCTCCTGCTGTTGCCCCTCTTGCTGGCCTCCCTGCTCTCCTCTAGCTCCTGTAACAAAGGTGAGTGAGGTGGGGGTGGGGGACCCTGAAAGGAGGGCAGGGACAGAATGATGTGGGGGCAGAGGGGCAGGAGGGTTGAGCCTCTCTGGCACATGACAGTTGTCTGCTCCTCTTCAACCATCCCCCTTCCCATCCATTTTCTCAGATCTGTCCGGTTCTCCTCTCCCTTGGTATCTCCCTAGCCACATCCTCTTCTCTGGTCTATCTCTACCCATGTGCTTCTCTTGTTGGTCATCTTTCCCCCATATGATCTCCATCCCCATCTTGGAGTCTCTACCCACCTCCACCCCTGCTCAGTTTCTCCATGCTGGTAGATATCACAGGTCTCAAAGGACTTGTCCCTGAGTGGTGATGTGCATCTCTCAGTAGCTCCATTTTCACTGGGGTGTGCACGCACTAAGGCTGTGTGGCAGCTCCATATGGTTCATCTCCATCCCATCCTGGGGAGAATTTGTTCCTTGCAGCTCAGCAATTCGGAGCACGTATGTTTCTGCATGTTCCTCTGCATCCGTACCCTGATGCCTGCACACAGCTGGGCTGTGGGTTACTAAAGCTGCCCTCTCTGGCAGACAGCAGATAAATTCAGCTGGGTGAGGCTGTCAGAAGGACTGAGAGGGAGGAAAGGAGGGCGGGGATTGAGGGCAGAGGGCTCAGGTAGGTGGAAGCAGATGGAGAAAGGCAGAAAGGGGCAGAAGTGGCTGTAGGAGGGCGATAAATGTGTGACGAGAGGGGAAGCAGAGTAGGAGAAGAGAGAGAAAGCGTGGGAGGGGGATAAGAAGAGCATAGGAGAGGGCAAAGGTAGAGGCAGGAGGGAAAAAAAGGAGAATGAGAGGAAAATCAGGAGGAAAAAGGAAGATGTGGAGGGGGATGCCAAGGAAGGAAGAGACAGGGAACCTAGGATTGAGTGAAGGAAATGGATACAAGTGACCAAGAGGAGAGGAGCTGGGAAACAGAGGCCTAGATACTCAGGGAGGGAAGTAGGGATGGAGGGACAAGCTGTGGAGAAGGTGTCTGGTTCTGCCTTTCCTGCTCTTCAGCTCCTCTGTCTGCACTCTCCTCTGCCTCGTCTGGCTTTGGCTCCTGACTCCATCTCTGACTTTAGCCTGGCTTCTTAGCCTCCTGCCACTTCCTGTGCTACCTCCTATACACCATCTTGTGGCTTTCTCCTCAGCCATCTGGGAAGGAGATGTGGTGGTCATCAGCATGAAAGGGCAGACATTCAGATACCAGAAGGATTTTTTGAGGGAGTGGAGGAAAGGATTTCTTGCTCACCATGAATGCTTCAAACAAGTTGGCTTTTGGTGACTCTGTTTCCCTCTGCTGATATGTCCTCCTCCATTCATCTCCTGCTGACATGCTGTCATGAATGTGCTTTGAGAACCTAAGGCTTGGCATGATGGGACCAGATAGAGTAACCAATGGAGGCTGTGGTTGGGGGTGATGTGGAACGGGAGAGAACATGCAGAGCTCCCAAGGAACACCCTATAGTCCCCCCACCAGACTAGCAGGAACTGGTCCTTGAAGGGGGGTGTGTGGTTTAGTGGAGTATGGAAGGATCTGGAGCCTGAGTGAGTCCCACACCCATCCTGAATTGGTTGATGGCTGAAAGGAAGGGGGGGTGTTGACAAGAATTAGTACTAAGTCATGGGTCTGTATAAAATGTGGGGTTCAGGGAGTGTGGGGTTTGATGGCCCTGTAGTGGACAAAGAAATCTGCTGATTGTGAGTTTGCTCTTCTGGGTGTGGGGTGGGAAGCAGGGAAGGGATTTGTTGTGTTTCTAGGCCAGCTCAATAATCCCTTAGGATGTTGGCTCTGCTGGGTCCAGGCATTTGACATTGATTCCTTTGCTTCATCCCTGACCCTCTCTGTCCCCCTCCCTCTGTCCTATATGTCTTCTTTTCCCTCTGCTCTGGGAGAATGACCTTAGGTTAGAGGGTGATTGGCAGCAGTGAAGAGTGAAGGGAGCAGGGTTGGAAATTAAGAGGGGCTGGTAAACAATCAGGACCTCAGGAAAGTTCTAGATCTTCTGTTTTAAATCCCTTCGCTTTCCCAGAGCTCCTTTGGTGGCTACCACTGCTTCCTAACTCCACAGCCTCTACTGTCCAGCACTTGAAATCCCTAAGAATGTTTTCTACCTGACCCTGGTACCCAGGGGAGATGGTACTCTCCTCCCCCACCCCCTGAGGGGTAGGCCATTGTCATGGAAACTGTCTGTCCTGCTATAGGAGAAGGTTGTGACCTCCCACATGCCCTCTGACTCCTTTAATAGTTAATTTCTCATCCTTGTCCTTGTCTTCCTCCTTGTCTTCATGCAAGGTGCTTCTGCAGGGGGTGGGAAGGGTGACGGTGCTGGGGTGTGAGTTTGCCTAGGTCATCAGGAGCTGTTCTGGGAGTGGAGGCCCAGCTCATAGGTGTTTCCCCTTCTTTCTCTGGGGTCAGCCAACAAACACAAGCCATGGATCGAGGCGGAATACCAGGGCATCGTGATGGAAAACGACAACACTGTCCTGCTGAACCCACCACTCTTTGCCTTGGACAAGGATGCCCCCCTGCGTTATGCGGGTAATTGGGGCTGGGGGATAGCAAGGCAGGGCAGGCAAGAGAAAAGTGGTTTGGAGAGCAAAGGACAAGGGAGAGGTGGGATGGCGCTGGGAGTGGGAGGAACGAGAGTATGGGGAAGAGGTCT